TTTCTTCTTCTCTTTTCGCAAGTCGTTATCCTGTTTCTCTCGGCGAGGGCCTCGTCGGAGGTGAAGAAACTGACCTGCCGGGATAACGATGGTTACAACGTTTGCCACTACAAGGGTGTTCTCGTCGAAGTTACACAAAGCCGTTTCGAGGACCGATTGGACCTCAGCAACCTGGATCTCTTGGCGATTCGAGAGAACGCCTTTAAGAACGTGTCGACGAAGGCCTTGGTTCTGAATCGCAACCGGATATCCGTGCTGAAGAGGGAATCCTTCCGCGGTTTGCCCAACTTGAAGTACCTCTTCTTGGACCACAATGTGGTACCGTTATCGGGGCACTTGTTCGCGGATTTGAGACACCTGCCGACGCTTTCGTTGTTCTTCAACAAGATTGATTCGATACCGAAGGACTCATTCGCGGGCTTGTCAAGCCTGATTTCGCTCTACCTAGGTCACAACGATATCGAAGCGATCGAAGCGGAATCCTTCTCGAATCATAATCCCGGACTGCTGCACCTTTGGCTCAACAACAATAAAATCTCTTGCATCGCGCCGGATTCCTTCGCCGGGTTAACCGAATTGAATGGCCTCTGCTTGGCGGGCAATCGGCTAGAGGACTTTCCGAGTGGTGCCTTTCGAGGATTGAACAAGCTGGAGTATCTTTCCTTAGATATCAATCGGATAACAAGCGTCTCCAGGTCGCTCCTTCGTGACTTGGTCGGTCTGAAGATACTCCGTCTTCAGCAGAACGAGATCAGCGCTCTCGAGCCGGATACGTTCAGGGATCTATCTCAGCTGGAACAACTGGACCTGAGCGAAAACAAACTGTCTCACATTGTAGCCGGCACTTTTGCCGGGCTCTTCAATCTGGGGAGACTCTATCTTCAGCAGAACGAGATCAGCGTTCTCGAGCCGGATACGTTCAAGGATCTGTCTCAGCTGGAACTACAGAAACTGAGCGGAAACAAACTGTCTCACATTATAGTCGGCACTTTTGCCGGGCTCTTTAATCTGGGGACACTATCTTCAGCAGAACGAGATCAGCGCTCTCGAGCCGGATACGTTCAGAGATCTATCTCAGCTGAAACGACTGGACCTGAGTGGAAACAAACTGTCTCACATTGTAGTCGGCACTTTTGCCAGGCTCTCCAATTTGGAAAACATCGCGCTGTCCGACAATGGCATCCACACGGTGGACAATGGCACTTTCGCTGATCTCGTCAAACTGCGATATCTCGGCTTCGGTGGCAACAACTTCACTGAAATCTACAGAGAAGTCAGCGGCCTCCCTGTCACCCCCACAATTTTGAGATTCTTAAAGTTTTAAAGATATCTGTTTATATATATCTCACAAAGGGACAAAACCTTGACCTCTTGAATTTTGCAAAATTTTTAGTATATGTTACAGTACACTTCATTCACTAATACAAGGTACAGCAACGGTCCAATGCACAATAGTTTATTAAATATTAATGTTGAAAATGTTTTTTTCGATATTAATAATAAATAAACCATGCTTGTGCAATGAAGTCGCATTCATTAAATGTGCAAATTAGTATAATGTGTCTTAATTGTTTCTATGATAGATATTCTTCAAAAACATGTACAGATTGTGATTATAATCGATAGTGCACAAATTGAAAGAAGATTAATTGTCATGGAATGTATTTTTGTTACTGTGTATGTAAACAATTACGGACAA